CATTAGAAACTTCTGAAGTTTAGCCCTGAAAAACTACCAATATTTGATACTATTGTCAAAAGATCTAAGGAACTTAAAAAATACTTTTCTCGCAGAAGTGAATTACAAAAGACAGTGTCGTCTTATTTGTGAGCCAGTACTTTAGTATAAAATATGATTGGCTTTTATTTGCCTGTTGATTATATGTGCTGTATGATCTTTGTGTTGCTGTGTTTGAGGGAAGTGACTAAGTTGTTTGTGTTGTGTCCCCAGCTGGAAAAGGTACTGCAGCAAGGGGATATTGGGGAGTGTGCTGAGCCCTACATGGTTTTCAAAGAGTCCGATGCTGCCAAGGTAGGATCAGGGTGAATTAAATGTTGAAATGCACCTAAAACATTTTGAGCCTAATATAATAATCCTCATACAGATAATGCCTTTTATCCAAAATGTTATCCACATATTCATCAACGTATCTTTCCCTGTAGAATAAAGAGAAGCTGGATAAGCTCCGCGGACAGTCAGAGCAGTTCTGCCAACGGCTTGGCCGCTATCGCATGCCTTTCGCCTGGACCGCCATCCACCTGATGAACATTGTGAACAGTGCTGGCAGCCTGGAGAGAGACACGGAGCTGGAGATGAGCCTCTCAGGTGGGACGTTTCACTTTGAACACATCCCTTTGGGTGGTAACTTTAAAAACACAGTATGCATCAAGTGCGGAGGAAAAAGAAAACCTTGGTGAATGTTTTTGCCGACTCACTGTCTCAATGTTGCAGTTCTCTGGGGGCAGAAGAAAATAGACCTGGGAGTCACACAGGAAGATCATGGGCCCAGTCAATACATTACCACACTGTAAAATCTTTATCTAAAATCAACTTTACAACAACAGGGATCAAAACATCCAAACCAGACAGCGATCCATATTGATCCCTGGTGAGCTATTTTGAGTTTGACCTTTGGTGTTTGTCTAACCTCCGACCTCACAAGGTGTCTTTTAATGCTGACTGTGGTGGCTGCGTGTTCGCTGGATGACAGATAGAAATGTATACACGCTCTGACACACGGGAAAGAAATGTGGGATTATTTGTGAGCCTCTCTAAGTCAAATCTGTCGACATTCAAAATGTAAACCATTAAAAAGCTTTTATTGTTGTTTTCCCCCTGTTTGCAGAGAGAAAAGGCTCGTGGTCAGAACGGAGGAACTCCAACATCATGGGAAGGCGTTCACTGGAGAGGACCACCAGTGGAGACGAGTCATGCAGTCTGACAGGCTTTAGACCTGCAACACTTACCATCACTAACTTCTTCAAACAGGTCTCCACAACCACATATGTTATTTAGAAAATATATCATACACTGCTCTGCTCTGTCATTTTGTTTTGGATTCTTACACACTGTACATGTGTGTTTTAGGAAGGGGACAGACTGAGTGATGAGGACTTGTATAAGTTCCTAGCTGACATGAGAAGGCCTTCTTCCGTGCTGAGGAGACTCCGACCCATCACAGGTACAAACTACATTTGAGTTCTTGATGCCCTTGATTATCATCTCTAACCAGTGTTCCATTGAATTGCTGGAAAAATGTAACAATTGAAAAATGAAAAACGTTTTTTTTCTCTTTCCTCTCCTCCCCGTTTACCCAATGACTCCCGTTCTGTCCTCTGTGACTGCCACCACAGCCCAGTTGAAGTTGGACATTTCTCCAGCTCCAGAGAACCCTCACTATTGCTTGACCCCTGACCTTCAGCAGGTCAAACCTTACCCAGACAGCCGGGTACGCCCCACCAGGGAGATCCTCGAGTTCCCTCCCAGAGACGTCTATGTGCCAAACACCAAATACAGGTACAGAAAAACTGCGCGTTTGTTTCCAATCTTTCTGTTTAGTATTTGCATTTGTTAAGATAAAGCATTATTGTCAAAACGATTGCAAAAGCCAAAGGCTGTTTTATCTGATTTGACATTCAGGACTAGCCTAATTTGCTTACAAGTGGATTAACACATGCAAATATTACATTGAATCAGTTATTGTTGTCTAACTTCACTTTATGTGTTAAATTATCTGTGGACTACTACAGAGGGATATTCTTACTGTTTATTCAGTAAGAGATGACATTCTCAATCAAAGCCAAAACACACATTCACTCTGCAGAGACTGCCACTGTGTTTGTTAATGTTCACCTGGTGTAATGTGGCAGTGTTGCATCTGAACTGCTATTTCTGCCAAGGTCATTTTGAGAGATGTCTTTAATACCAGACGCTGGTGCTGATATGGCCTTGCTACCACAGGCCTCGTTTATCTGCAGATAACCGTACGCCTCCCTTTTGTAGATTAACTAATGCCAGACATAATTGAGAGCCAGCAGCACTGGGTGAAAGGAAACATGCTGTTGCATTTTTTTATTCTGATGTGAAAGTTGATTGATAAACCTTTCAAGCATAAATAAATGGCAGCTATACTATATGAGGTCATTGAACCTGAACAGTGATTCTGGAGAGTACAGGCTTGCTGTCTTCAAGTGTGTGAGGTTCCCACACTAAATGACTGACCTTAAAGAGCAACACATTACAATATCATTTTCCATATGGAATGTGATGGCAGCATTTCACCTTCATGTAACACTAACGGCCCGTCCACACTACAGCTTCAAAAAAAGCTTGGAGCTCGGCGTGTCTGAAGCTCGACCAACAACCAATCACATGAATCTCCCGCCCCTGACACACAAGCAGCGGTTTGATTGACTAGAGCTTGTACTGGCATATGATTTGATTGGCTGACGCTTCCACCGAAAGCTTCAGAAGCTTCAAAAGTTGAACATTGCTCAACTTTTGCTGCCTGAAACGCCAGGAAAGCTCCGCTCTGCTTCCCACAATGCAGTTCGACGAAAAGTGACGTCACCCCATTCAAAGTGAATGGGCAGACGCGTTAGAAACCGTTTTTGAAGCTGTCGAAGCTGTAGTGTGGACGGGCCGTAAGATTATATGAAGGCCATTTATTGGCATTCATTTTCTTTTCCTCCTAAATGTATTTGGTTTAATACAAAGTTATAAATCAACACAGAAATGTACACATAAAAATGTACTTGTGAATTGGTCATTTATTCAAGATCTTTATTTTGACTTCATGAATATGAGGATGTGTTGGTACATGTATGAGGAACAGTTAGAGTACAGTTAGTTATTTTGTTATGATGGACAAGAGTCAATATGACTCGATAACAGGAAATGTATGGAAATTATATTTTTCTAGCAATGCCATCATAAATCATTTAACAGCATGAGTATAGTTTAAATACTTAACATAGTAAAAAAAACACAGAACAAACAAAGCAAAAAAAACTCATCAGTCTGCAGCCAAAGCTTTGTACCTCCACTTTTTGTACTATATATAACTTCTGTCGTGCCCCTACTCAACAGATTGTTTTCCATGAAACTAGCAATAAAACAAGATAAAATAACAACATTTTCACTGGAAAAAAAGTCACAAGTATTGACAGTTTTTGAGATGCTGGAGATGCATTGTTTCTCTTGAACATTGACTTATATAATTCCGATGCCTTACAGTATGTCATAAGTGTTGGTATTTCTGTCTTTGGCTCCTGGGAACATGCAAAAGCTTCACATCACTAAGATAATAAACATTTTTAATAACTCAGTAAACAAATAACTATTAAATACATTTAGGTTCACTGAAATGATAACCAAGAAAGTTTATAGAGTTGCTTAATAATCTCTCCTCACAGTTGTCTTTCCTACTTTAGTACTGTGGCCTTTTGCAGACGGCACTGAATCAGACTGCTGATGTGGATCAATATGTCCATTTAGTCAGTGATTGCAGATGTTGCATAATGACACAACTGTCCTTGCTGGGTCACACCCAATAGGTCAATGACCTGTGTGACATGGTTGCATCATTGAGACAGTGCAGCATTTTCTGACGTGTGACATTTTGGCCTGTTATCTATTGCAGTGGTTCCCAAACGGTGTGCCGCGGCACACTGGTGTGCCGTGAGGCAAGTCCGGGTGTGCCGTGGGATTTTGTGACAACCATACGTTATTATTGCAATATACAACTACACAAAAATAATTATTTTGTAATATACTATATCAGTACTTTGTAGGTTTATATGTACGTAATCTGCGCGACTTGCGCGTCCGCATCTCCACGTGCAGTGCTGCATAAACATGGCTGAGTCAGCGATAACTCTCGAGGGGTGGAGGTATGCCCATTATTTTGAGTTCGTCCGAAGAATAGACAGGAATGTGACGGTGAGGTGCAAACTGTGTCCAGGCCAGAAGCTGTTATCCACTGCTGTAAACACCACGTCAAACCTCAACACACACCTGCAAAGAACACATGCTAAGGTGAAGCTACCGCACACGCTATTTGTTGTTTGTTTATATCACGTAGTCTGTTCTTCTTCTCTGTCTTCCGGTTGTTGCCTGTTTTTAATGACAAATACACACTACCGCCGCCTGCTGGTAAGGAGAGTTATTGCCACTCACGCATGCGCAGTTCGTACGTGCTCGGCGAGTAAAGTAACGAGTTACTTTATGTAGATAGTAACGAAGTAGTTTAATATATTACTTTTTTTAAAGTAATATGTAATCAGAACAACAGGAGGTCACGGCTCTCTGTTGAACAGGACTTGCGAGTGGCCCTCTCCTCAGCGCCCCGACACGCACATGTATCTCACTAATTTGTAAATCGGCAAAATATTTACAATAGCACATGTTTCAATGCTGATTGCTGAAATGTTACATTTATAATTTGTAGTTCAGGACCATGGACAATGCAGCTTCCTTGCATTGACAGTTCTCTGTGCTGAATTTCTGCTGAGTTTCCTTTGCCTCATTTTTAATGTTGTGACCTGTCTGGTTTAAATGAGTGTGTTGCTGCTTTGATGAAGCCTAATTTGATAACGTTTCAAATTAATTTCTGAAATATTTCGTTAATAAATATTTCATGAGTAATATAGTTGTCTTTGTCACATTTTATTTGGCATTAGTAAATAATTATGCACATTTACAGATATTTTACATGATATGAGTGATAACACGTGTTATAAGGGCTATTTTGCACAATAGGTGTGCCTTGAGATTTTTACTTGTCCTTTGGTGTGCCTTGGGCACAAAAAGTTTGGGAACCACTGATCTATTGGTTAGCACCAAACCTCTGACAAAACGCTGTTAAGATACAATCCGTTTAATAAACTAAAAATGTTTATGTGTTACTACACTTTTCACATCTATAGAACTGTTTGTTTGAGCATTAGATCTTATCAGTGTTTGTATAAAAAAAAGGTTAGTAGTGTGAAAAGGTATGATTTGACGGGTTCACTTGAAGCCGTCAGCTGTAGGAGCCGATCGTAGGGTCATCTTGGTCGTCTTGAGTGAGTATGAGGGCGCTGTGCATGGCTTCCAGTGGATGCCCTTCCTCCTCATAGAGCGTCCTTTTGCCCTCAACCACAAATACCGTCCATTAAGGTTGGTTTCTCTGCAAGCATTAAACCACCAACCACCTGCCAAGGGGTCAGGACAAGAACCATATGTTTTAGAACAACACTCTTTACTACCAAAAAACCATTTCTGATTCAGCTTGGTGGAATGCTTACCTGTGTAACTGCGAGAGCAGTTGGAGTTTCGGTGGTTTTCATTATTTCTGTCCGTTGTGGAGAACCTCATGCCGGTGCTGTTGGCCATGGCATCAGGCAGGTTACCAGAATAGTTGCTGACATACAGGCTGTAGCCCATGGAGGGACCCTCTAGTGTGAAGCGGTACTCAGCCCAGTGGTTCCCCTCCTTCCAGTCCTCCAAGTCAACACGCAGGACGTAAGCTCCCTGCTGTGTGAAGCTGTGGATCTTCTTTAGGCCCAACCAGAAGTTCTCTGCATAACACAACAAACCATTTGATATCTTTGTAGGATAGCTATTATTTGAAAACACATGCCTATTTTGTCTGTTTGCAAGGAATCTCTAAAGGTTAACGATGGGTTTGTATAGAACTTTTTTTTTTGTGGGAAAAGTCTCTTTGTACAATTTACAAAGGTTTACAAATCAAATGAAATTGGAAATGCGCTGGCTTATACTTTTTCCTAGTATTGATAGTTTCTCTCTCGTAGCTATTTAATTCTATCATTTATCAGTCATACTTTGTCTCTTATAAGCTTAAAGAAACTCATCTGTAATCAGAGCAGACAGGCACGTCTAAACACTAGTTTCCATTTGCCTTTGTTGGACTGCTGCATCAAACTATACTTTTTAACGATTAGTTTGGTAGTAACAATTTAATACCATGCCTGCAGGAGCCGCTACGGTGGAATGTTACATGACTGTGTCTATGAAATGATTCAGTCTGACTCAGTTAGTGCTGCAGGGAAAGCTTTGGTTCAGGGTTGATACGTAGCAATCACTATTTCCTATAACCAGCCCAACAGAATGTTATTGCAAATGTACTATTGTATATATGACAAGTGAAGATAGGTCTAAATTGAAATGTGTATAGTTTTGGCAAAGGGTAACGTTTCCATATTTGAAGTAAATATACTCACTTTCCAGATCTCCAAAGCCTTTTTCATACTTCTCCCATAGCTGTTCAAAATCCAATGAATCATCGACCCTGCGTTGGATAACAGTTGACCCCCCGTCTGTAGAATGGATTAACACAATTCAAGTCCAGTTACTATTGTACAAGCCACAGAAAAGTTTACACAAGGATCAGGAAGCCTCCTTTTGATAGATAACGTCAATGGGATAAAACCCCATTATTTGCCCTTATGGATAACCCCTTCCTGTGGTTATCTAGCTAGATAACCTTTGGTTTTTTGGTCCTTGTTGATTTAAAAAAGTGCAAAAATTGCATAATTTCATTGTGTAAATACAAGTGCTTTCTGAATAAAGAAACAGTATTATGATGTTCTCATTTAGTGCTTATATTACTATGGTCTTACCCACCTGAACCCATTTCGCAGTAAACGTTGAATGGTTCAGATTCGCTTGGTTTGATGACATAAATTCCACTGTTTGCCTCTCCTTTGGTAAACAACTCACTGCAGTCCCTTGGCAGGTCTGAAACACAATTAAGAAAATCAAAATGAGTGCATAAAAATACATTTCATATTCATCTCAACAACTTAAAATGACTGATAATATTTTTAAAATATCTTTACCATTCACATCTAGGTCAGTTGAGTTTCCTGTCAGATATTCAAACATGTCTGCAGGGACTGAATCCATTGGCTTATCGATTGTATCCTGAAAGCTGTCATAGTTAAGCTGCAAGACAATGGAAATAAGATCTGTGAAGTCTAATGAGGTTGTCAGCTTGAAATAGCAGAGTTTCCCTCCCCATGGTCATTTGTCATTTCCCCATAAAGCAACATTTGCATAGATAACATTTAGGACCTAATTACGTTGTCAAAGTTGGCAAAATGTAGTGAAACCCTTTAGAACAGTTTTCTACCTTTTCCTCCAGTCTTTTAATGTTGGTTTTCTGGTTGTCGAGCTGATCGTGCTGCTCCTTCACAGCTACCAGCAGATTGTTGATTGTTTTCTCTTGTGATTCAATCACTTCCTGAAAATACCACAATAAAAACATTTATTGTCCATGCAACATGTGGGCGAATATCAGTTTTTCTTTAGTATTTATTTTCTTTATTGCGTAGAACTTATCAGTAACACAATTGAAAACAAGGGAGAATAAGTCAAGGCAAACAAACTAAAACACACAACTTATTTATAACGTTGCTTTTCTATTGGAATTGTATAGCCTGTCTCATTATTGTTATATTTACATCATCTTAGTGGAGACACTGCAACAGATGGTTTAACAATCATCTGCATTGTAATTACAGTAGTAGATCATGGTCATAAAACAATGCATGTTTTTCTTGGACCCATTGCTTTTTCTGAGTGAGGACTAATTTAAGTGTTGTGTTGATGTTGTTCAATTTAAAAAAGTTCAACAAATGCATTTCCATTGATGGCTGGATTTGAGTGAATCTTTTTAAGCCGTTTTCTTTTGCTTGCTTTTATATTTTATATATATATATATATGCGTAAATCATCCACTAACTGACCCAATCTTGAATGAGGAACTCTATGAGCTGCTTACCCTGAGTGCTGTGATTTCGCTAAGCTGCTCAGCGGGGATAATCCTCTGCGACAGTCCCTGCAGTCGCTCCTCCAGGTTCCCCACTTTGCTCTGCAGCTGGGTACGCTCCTGAAGGATGCCGTTGATCTTAGAGTTGATTTCCATGGACAGGTTCTTGATCTCCTCATTGTTGGTCTTCAAGAAACTGGTGGTCTTCTTCAGTTCCTCCTCTTCCTCCTTGATCTCAGAGGTTACCACTGAGAGCTGGTAGAAGGAGCGGTCGAAAATGTTCAACCTTTGGAAGATGTCGTTGATTTGGCCCTTAGTTTTGTGCACAAACTCCCGTAAACTCTGGCCTAGCTGAAGGAGGCCGTTAGCGAGTAGACGAACATCGTCCAGCATAGCAAAACGAGACTTGGCCTCGGCTGGGCTCGCTGCAGTGGTGAGGGCAAAGGTGGGCACGGTGGTGGACTGAGCCCTACCTGAGGTCACCAGGGGAACGGTAGAAGATGAAATAGAAAGAAGCAGCAACAGGCAATAAAGCTTCATCGTGACGTTCTTGTCCAATCCTTGAATATGTTCTAACGACTGCTCCTGCTTTCCTCTACTCAGCACTCCTTTCTCTCCCTCTGCCTCTAGCCCAGACTTCCTTGCTGTTTAAATGAAGTGAGCAGCAGGCTGCCCCGTGTTATATACTGCTCTCCCAGTAGAGGAGGTGGGGATTAGTTGATCATTACTATGTTTTAGCTCTGTACCCCACCTCCTCCCAAATCCCCCTCGAGCCCTCCCTCTCTGAACAAACAAATCACAGCAGTGAGCAAATGACATATGCACCCCACCCCCCTTCTGTACTACCCATTTAACCTCAATCCCCTCTCCATACCACACCCTGCCGACCCTGTTCTCCATCTGTGGTGCAGAGCTTTAGCTGATCAGCAGAATGCCAACAATGGCATCACAGGTTTTTGATGGATCGTCACTCTGATCAATCACCAACCTTATAACCCTGCACACGCACATTGCTCTGATTGATATTGCTGTGTGTAATTAATGCTCTCAGGTTTGATTTAACAGCATGCTGAATCAGCCCAGCACCAGGCTCTCTCTCTCTCTGTCTGACTGTCTCTCTCTCTCTCTCACCCTCCCTCCTTACGCTCTCTTTATGTGGGGAGGAAGTGAGCCTGTCATTAGTGCCCGGGTTGTGCTTCTAGGCATGAATGATGTTGGAGAGTTTGGACAGTGTGTACTCATCATCTCTGTTTGTCATGCCTTGTGTGATCATTTGTAATGCCACCACACATGAGATGGGGAATATAGTTTCCTGATGAGCTTGGAGGTTTCAAAGCAACTTTCCATTGCTCTAAGTCATGTCGTAAAATTACAATCTTTATGGGAAATTCTTAGTAAGTTGTTTCATGCAGACCTGCAATGTTGGTGAAATATGTCCACCTTCAGCCAGGCATGGGGGGAGGAGGTAATCAGCCAAATGACTTGGTGTAGTATTTCATTGGAATATAAATATTTACTATTGTGGCACACTGTGTTGCTGGTTCCACAACCCCTGAAGTAAGCATGTCCTGCTCTGCGGCGTGAAAACGCCAAGTCATCATTGCATTTAATGACTAATCAAGGCTCAAAATTGGTTCTCCAACTTTTACTATTTTTACTTTTCTTAAATTATATTTCCATTCATCAGTCACTTTGTGTAGCCAAATACATTGTCATAAACAGCAAAACATACTGGAATATTTGGCTTTGATTTCAAGTGGAAACATGTTTGCTCTCCGGCTGTTACAGTGCACCTTAAAATACCACACAGTCAGTTTAATGAGCTTTCTCTAGTAATTTGCGGTTATAAGGATGGATTAGCGCAGGTCTCAGTAATGAGGGTCTGCCTCTGTTTTTGTATGGACAGAGCAGAAAGAAAGAGTCCTATGGAAAAGAAAGATTTGGCCACAGACTGAGTGAATGTGCCAGGAATTTGCTTGAGCAGCATAAAGCTGGTAATGATATACAACATCCGTCATGCCAGCACAGTGGTTAGTGTTGTGGTTAGGCAGCAAGGGAGTTTCAATCTGACGTGCCCTTCTGGGGCCAGTGTATGTGGAGCTGCCATGTTCTGCTCAAGTTATAATTTAGCTGGCCGTTTACATAACGGGATATCCTTGATGGACAGCTATTTTTGTTTTTTATCTGTTATACAATTTAATTTGATTCAAATTCCTAATTGTCAATCTCTAGCTTTACTTTTTCCTACTATGCATACTCTCAGTTATCCCTGAGATATTCTTTTGTACTGTTTCTAGGTATTCTTATTCTGTACATTGATCACCTCTTATGTTGACCTCTGGGTGAAAGGACTGCTCAGATGTGCTGTGAGTCAGTCCTTTATGGTGTTATACCTTTGTCCAGCCACCCATCCTTTTTTTATCACAAGCTGAAAATAAAAATGATGTTCACTCAATATTGTAACACCTTATTGACTGGGTATGTATGTTTGTATTGAGTTAATTATTTATGAGTATAAACCCAGTTCTAAATAAAATTGAGGTGCTCTTCTCAGCACCTTCACCAATATTGTGTTGTCCACTAAATGGCAGACTCACTATTTATTTACTATTCCTTGTCTCCATACTCTGAATTGCTAGAGTGGGATAATTTCATCTGGCCTCCTGGTGAGAAACGTAGTTTTCAAACAATGACTCTCTTCCCTAATTTAGCCCCTGTACCAGTAGCTGTCATCGTACAGCTGCTCAATTATGGCAAAAATCATAATCTCGATTATTTGGGTCAATAATTGATATCACGATTATTAAAAACGATTATCCATTTACTTTGAAAACATCAATTTACTGGAGAAAAAAAATGTGAACAGTATGTTTTTAACAGTTGATTACCCTGAACTTTAAGTATAATTCAACTGAAAAACCAATACAACATTTTTTTAATAAAAAATAAATAAAAAAAGTAATAATAAAAAAATAATCGTTTTATTTAGATTACGTTGTTTTCGTAATCGTTGCAAGCCATAATTGTAATTGCGATTAAAATACGATTAATTGAGCAGCCCTATCATACTGGGTGTATTGGCATTTCACAGTATTTATGGGTACTTATTAACCAAACAGGAATCTGATGAGCTGAGCTGACCAATGAACTGATCACTGATACTTCCTCACCGTACATATATGGGGATTTATCAGATTTTCCACAGCGAGGCCATCTATTTCTATTCAAATTCAACAACCCACTTTAGAGCTGCCAGTGTTATTGCTAGGACCTGATAGATGGAGGGGAGGAGAACAAGGGAAGGATTGTAATCAGACCAAATAGATTCCCACGCTTCCCTGTCAGTTGTGGTTCCAGCTGTGGTCTCTGTGGGGCCGGCCCCCACAGACCCCACTACGTCACTGCGGTTTGTCAGCTGATCCCGAGATTCCCGGGCCTCCTCCCACTTCCCAGCAGTGTAGTGTTTTTGAGAGTAAAGTACTATTACTCTAGCTGACAACAATGACAACAAAAATCAGGACTGTAGAATATGCCAACTTCTTTGAGTATTTATGAAATGTTAATTAATTCTAATAAATGGTCCATCTTATTTCTTATCATGAACAATTTCATTTTTTTTTTTAAACTAACAAGAGACATATTAACCAAGGCCCACCATAACAATTATGACAGGAGAAAGTGCTACTTTCCATATTATTTTAGACACTATAACATTATTTGAGTTTTGTTTCTGATGCTTTTGTTGTGTATGTCAGAACAAGATATTGAGATTTTTATTTGCCATTACTTCAATAACATAATTTATGAATGACCTTGTTTTTCTCTGTTTGTGTGTGTCTTTTAGGAATCTGCTGTATGTGAACCCTCAGAGTCTCAACTTTGCAAACCGCCAAGGCTCTGCCCGCAACATCACAGTTAAAGTGCAATTTATGAATGGAGAGGACCCAAACAATGCAATGCCGGTACGCTATGATGTCATTACATAGAATAAAACAAATATGTGTTCATATAGTCTAGTTAGTCATCCTACTTGTCTTCTTACTGGTATATTTCCTATACTCTAGGTGATATTTGGGAAGTCCAGCTGTGCAGATTTTGCTAAAGAAGCCTATACTACTGTGGTGTACCATAACAGGTAAGTCTATTAACACTTTCTAAAGAGTGCTGTCATGGTGATTGAATGCAGTTAAAACAACACTAATCAAATATCCCATCATAGCTTAGTAGCAATAACCTATTTTCATTTTGTTCAGATGTTAGCATCATTACTCAGGATTTATGTGATGACATATCTTGGCAATGGTGAGCTATGGAAATCTGACATGCTTAGCCTTTTACCCACATGGTCTCCATTATTGTCATGGAATTGGGGGATGAAAAATGAAAAGATCTAATATCCTCCTTTAATTTAACATCTACTTTTAAGTGTCCATCATCCAACCATAATGGTATTCATTAAAGAGGAGCTGGGGTCGACCGTCTAGATATTGTCAAGTGGGTGTCCTTGGCACACGTTTCTTCCATCTCTAAGAGCTCATGGGTCTCTAATATTTTATCACCACTATCTGGTGTTTTTACGACACACAGCCATTTTGTCATTTGTCACCTGGGGGTCGGTCACACCTTCAAGGCGAAAATTAATCAACCTGTGAACAATGTACAAGTGTGACCAGGTCAAACATGCGTCAGGACTTAATTCAGCCCGGCAATTCACTCTGAAGCAGCACAATATTTATTTTGTCAGAACTCTTAAAGTAAAAAATTGAGAAAGGAAATGACAGGAAAATAAAACAAATCTTTTTTATAAGAAGTGTTTTATAATCTGGAAAGCTTCCACCATATTGCTTGTATCTGCTTTTGGCTTTGGAGTCATTTAGTCTGCCAGTAACCCATTAGCTTTATCCCTGCGATAAGTATTGCTCCTAGTGCTATTCCTCTTTGAGGGCTTTTCTTCTTCTGTCCATCCAAATTAGAGCACTTCTGTTCCAGTTTTAGTCATGTTAAGCCTTAAGACAATCCTGGTGGGTGTGTTGATAGACCTGAGGCCTGTACTACGAAGCCGGTTCAACCTAACCTAGATATGTTTGAGTTAGCCGGTTGACCTAATCCAAAACATACGCGCTCTCGCTAAGCGGTCCTACGACGCTGGTTATCAAGTGGATCGCTCAAGCCAGCCGTGTCCTATCTTTGCGTGCGTGTTCACATGAAAGGGGTGGTATCTGGAACATTCGACCAATCACAAACATGGACAAGCGTACTGACAGCGCGTCATACTTCCTGAATGAAAAGTCAACTATAATATTAGACATATGAAGAAGTTGAACTTTAAAACATCCATGACTTAAACACTTTATCCAGGATAAAAGCCACATAGCTGCACCTGTAAGGTGAATACAGCTGGCAAAAGAAAAAGCGTTTGAATTCGTACATTAACAGGTTTATGATATCATTGCCCCGTCCAAGACACGAGTGTATCTGACTTTAATTACATTTGACTGGAGTGTTTCGTCAACTTAATGTGTTGCTTAAAATAATACTTCTGCATACAGCATGTGACACTGTGAGTGTTGCACGGCCAGATACGGCTCAGCTGACTCAGATAAGGAAATATATGATGTGATATGAATATGGGACACATTGACGTCTGCACTCACAGTGCCGCGG